GTTAGTTCTCTGTAACGTTCAATAGCTCAATAGATGGTTGGGAAGTTGGAAACGCTACTTTGAGCCCATCTGCACTTACTGTGTGAAAGTAATTTTTGAGTTCATTCAGAAGACAAAGGAAGTGAACCTTGACAACAAATGGATGTTATCATTAGACGCTCAGCCATTGTTTACGAATATTTCGTTTTTAGGGACAGTGGAATATGTTTGCGAAATAGTACGACAACTTAAAGTGCCTATAAATCACACGAAAAGTTTCGGAAGAATGTGTTACTCAGATGCACCTTAACCGTGCAGTTCACCTTCAAGGGGAAGATATATTGTCAGATTGATGGAGTTGCAATGGGATCACCATTGTGACCCCTTCTGGCAGATTTCTTTATGGCTAAATCGGAGCATAGGTCATTAAGACCACACATTAGCGGAGTGGAGATGTATATACCTTATGTAAATGACACCTCAACATTAGATTAATCGAAAGGGCAGGCTGTGAAGCTGTTAAAGCCTTTAATAGCGCACATCAGATTCTGCAATTCACCTGTGAGCACGAATCCAGAAAGCGACGACCGTTTTTGGACGCAGGTATTATCAGAAACACCAATGGACCCTGCAGTGGAAAGCGGTATGGAAAACGCACTTGGACTGGGCAGCACAACAACTTCCGTAGTGCGGTACCACTATGGTACAAACGGAATCTAGTAGCTACTCTTATCTTCCGGGCACACATAACACAATCACCAAGGAATTGTAGAGAATCAGTTACGCTCTACGATCAAATGGTATCCGGATAAAATTATCCTCAAACATTTGAAAAAAACGCAAAATAAAATCATCGAGGAAACGTATACCCAAGTAAGAACTTATGGTCCATTTTCCTCTCGACGGCGACAGTGCGCTCGAAGGACGCTGTAGAAAAAAGATCTATTTGCTGGCTCGCCGATGCATAGTATGCTACAACAAGCGTTCACTCGCAAAAACTTAGAAGGATAGACTGCTCTCGTTGACTCGATCAATACTTGTTTATCAGTACTCGTGCTCCTGAGTTGCACGATAAGTGGATCGTACCAGGAGGCGCCTTTATCAAGATGCGCGAATACATTCCGAAGTGGTTTTACTGAGGTGATGCGAGATCTTTTAATAGTTCCATCATGTGGTACCTCTTAGAATACTGTCACGCAGGCTCGAGAAATGAATTCAGGGTCATCTGCTTTATTCTTGAGTGTTCACCGCGTGAATGCCAGAGACATCTCCTACCGATTGCTGAAGATAGTTGTATGGGTCATCTCAAACCGAATTGTGCGTAAAAAGCTATTTGCAAGCCCTTGCTTCCAACGTGGCCCACGACTTCCGTCGCATGACCCTGTGATTTGTGCCCCAGTTAATCCTTGGTTAAGAAGCTGATTTTCTCTTGTGCTTAATCTGCTACTTTCAGTGACCGCGGGACCTAACGATACATTTCCGTTGGAATTAAGCATAATAACAATAAGCACGCAGCCCTATTCGGTATATTTCCATGTAATCATCATCATGTAAAGTCTGTCCGACGAGAATTATCAAAAAGAATTCTTACCCTGTGTCTACCTCACTGCAATTCATCATGGTTTTACTAAACGATTGTAAAAAGCGCAGGCATCCAGTTCGAGTTGTTTGTTGATTTCTTTGAGAGAAACGCTTTGTTCAGGCTTTCCATATATAAATATATATATATATATCATGATTTTTTACTGGCATCCTGAACTGGCTGAGGAAATCCACCCAAGAGACATCAGAGGTTGACTAGTTAGGAAAATTGGTGAGGCCGAATACGATGCCATGAAGCGTAAAGCTATGGCTTTTTCGATGTCTCCGTTAAAGTTTCCTGTGTTACAAAAGTAGCGGGAAAACAGCGTTGCGTGATCATGGTATCCCAAAGGATTAGTCACTATCATTGCATCGATCATAATTTCCTCACTGGTAAACATGAGGTCCAGAAGGGCTGGCTTGTTCCCCGTTCTGAATCTCTAGGTGAAGTGCCGTAATCATGAATTCGTAGGCCATAGATTATACCCGGCAGTTCGGACGTACATTGCTCACCGAGGTAAAACGAACTATCTCTAGAGTGCATAAGTTGAAGTCAACTATAAAAGGTAATGGGCTATAAGGCCCTGCCAGAATGGTCTTAATAGCAAAAGCTCAACGACTGTCTATTTATAGTGGACATCGAGGGATGGTATACGAGGGCAAGTAAACATGTAGCGCCAAGTGTCAGTTGCAGGTCGTACCGAAATCAGTGAAGCAACTAGAGCACCTGGTTGCTAATGAGTACGAAATGTAGGTCAGTGCAATGGTATAAAATTACTCTAAACCAAAAGCAATCACTAGTGCAGTGATTCAAGGGAGTGTTCTTAGTCCACTTCTTTTTCTAATTTATATTAACGATTTATTTCAAAGAAATGGTGTTGCATTTATCTTTGCTGATGACACTAAAGTGGTCTACTCACAACCACGTGCAAATACTCGGGAAGCCGTACGTCTCATACAGGATGACCTATCTGCCTTTGACTCCTGGTGTCAACTGTGGCAGATGTCATTTGCCGTGGACAAGTGTAATAGTTTGTGGTACAAATGCCAAGTACCGCCAGCCAGTCTATTACTACAAGGCGCATATATCTCGTAATGCATGGTAGTGCGTGACTTAGGCGTGCGATATTCAGTCACGTTTAACTTTTCTGAACACGGTGATTTTCAAGTTTCGAAAGCCATGAAGGCCACTGGGTATATCTGCCATCATTTTTACCTCACGAAATCGCGCATATCGCTTTACAAAACATATGTATTGCCGTGTATGGAATACTGTTCAATGGTACAGTTTAATCTGCGGAAGTATGACCAGCACGCTCTTGAGAAGGTCTAGAGACGCTTCACGAAAAAGCTATGTGGATATTCCTCAAACTTGACATACAGAGAGCGATGTGATAAACTTGGATTTGACCCAGTTTGGCTTCGGATAATGAAGCTGAACCTGTTTTCTTTACAGAACCAAAATTGCCAAATTCGCAGTCTTGAAAACGGTGTTCACATAACTTTAAACAGCAGATATTCAATACGTAACAAAGAGGTAAAGTTCATGATTCCAAAAGTTACTAGAAGGATCAGAGAACGTTTCTTTCTAACCCAATACTCAAAGATTTGGAACAAACTTCCAAGTGATATCAGAATATGCTATACACTTTGCAATTTTAAGCTTGCGATTAGTAAGCATTTAACCATCCAAAACGTGATTAAGATGTTCGGGACATTCCTGTCCCTAGATAACGCGTTCGAAAACGGTATCCATGGTGCCTGAATAAATTTCCGAAACACATACACATAATAATTCGGACAATAGTCCCTTTCATTACATTTCTTTTTCTTCTCGGCCTAAATATCTGTCATGTGGTTGGGAAGAATCCTAATTCAATAGCAGGAAAAAAATAGCAGAACTATTCTGATTACTCTGTGTTACCTAATTTGCAATTGCGTCCATGTTTATCTCTGAAAATGTATTATTGAAATGTCATGGAAAACTTGTATTATTATTTGATCTGTCCCTTTTAGGGAACAGCTTCTCGCATCGTCGAGGAATATACAAGTTATTTATTTATTTATTGCATATTTTTGAGCAATCATTGTACTATTACTATGAGCATCCTAGTAATGGCGCTCCTCGCGTAACCGAGAATAAACATTTATTATTATTATTATTATTATTACTAACAGGGAAATGCGTAGTACAGCGATTTTGACATCAATAATCTCGTCGTTATGCTGGGTCGCAAAACATCGAGGCTTAACCAGATATGAAGTAAGGCCAACCGAAGCGGTAATGTATGAAAGGGGATCATTGTTGGACCTCAAGATGACATGGGTGGAACGCTACTAATAGACTTGCCTCAGCCCATGAAAAGGCAAAACATCGAGTTTGTGATAAGTTGGAGAACTTAGCCTAGTTTAGGTTGCCTAAAAACAACCTGAATGATGGAGAGATATGAAAACTAAAATATACCCGAGTATTTGTAAGCGAGGCCAACAGATTCATTAAGCATTTCCGGTTCGTTCGATAGGTTATAATGCGAGCGTGACTTTGTCCACAAGAGGCTTCAGTTGTTGCAGTAAAATGGATTCAAGAAATCGAATATGTAAAGAAGGAAATCGTTAGCATGTGAATATATACTCCAATACAAGTACTGTCGTTATCCCGACTGTTAAAATATTTGAAACAAAGTCCAACCACCAGCCACATTTAGATACCGAATAAGACAGCGATCCATAAAACCCAATTTTACTGGTTCATCCCAGTTGTTCACATGCCACATTAGCCTAACTCTGATCCGGAAAAGTACCAGACGATCGTCAGTGGTACGCATTAAATCGGTTCCCTGTTGGGGATCGAACCCATGACCGATGCTAGTTTACGCCAACTAGCTAGTAGCTTATGCTAGCCATATCCTTTTTCACAGACTGACGAAAAAATTCGGCTGTTACGAAAGGCTATGGATTGGCAGACAGAAATTATGCTGGAAACGATTCTCGGTCACGGAGTGGACAATCACTTGCTCGGTTTGCGCCAAATCGCGTCGATCAATGGTATGCGGCTACCGGAGATTTTCAGAGATGAGGCCTACCTAGAAGCCAACCGATTTCGCTTATCCACGAGTCAGGTAAGTATTGGAGACGTATACGTGTCTGGTACTTTTTTGTAAAACTTACCAAAGGAATAGACGTTACTTAAGCAGCCAAGTTCCAAATCTTCGGATTCGGCTAGGAAAGCAAAGGCGTCAATTTGCAAATCATATTTTGACAGTTCATCCAAAGATTTATGTCAGTTAGCTAGTGCCGGAGGGTGGGTTTCACATAGACGATTCAAGATGACTCCCCGCGTTGGCTCATGAATGATAGCAAGTGCTTCAAGATGAGGTAATTAACTCATCCATGTTTTTCTAGAATGGGTCCCCACAATCACATTCGCTACGTAAAGTCCGCAGTTAACTGTTTCGCTGAGAACTCAGAACAACAACTCAGAACAATCCACATAGCGTTATTAATGTACGGTATCCACTATTCCTCGTCTGTGAAAGATGAGCAATCGCTGAATGTGACTGGTGCGATCCAAATAGGTCGAAAATCCAATTAGTCACCTGACCGAAGTGATTATCCAGCACATAGTGATCAGCATCAGGTGAAAAGTGAAATGAGAGAATTTGGCTCTTTTATCCACATGTTCGTTTTATGGAAACATGGTGCTGACGGACGTAAGGTATTCGGCACAGTAATATCAGCGGAAATTTTCACATGAATTTGTTCGTAATGAACGAGAACTAGTCCATGATCTTGTGTAGTGTGAAAACGTTTCTCCCGCACCAAACCTACTAGTGTAAGCACTTCTGATAGTTCCCAACTCCTGACCGGAATTGTATGTCATACAATTCACAAGCCTCTAAGGCACCGCTCGTGACATCTACGTAACTCATACGCTTTTACCATAATGGTTTGGTCTTCAAGGCACGGAAGCAGGATAGGCCTTAAAGCAAATCTCAAGCAAATTCTGGACTGAGGCATAGTGGTAGTCTGTGGTAATGCACTGAATACGGAATAGCTCCCATAATTTTTTTTTGAAAGCGAGCGGGCTGAAGGTGGTTATATCACTCTTTTGTTGCATTCAGTCAATTTTTTCAAGATTAGTTTGTCTAAAGGTAAAAGCTGAAAAGTTAACCAGGTTGTTTTAAAACATCATGATAGTCAACGCAGCGCGAAGATACCAGCAATTTTATTTTCTGACAAATAAGCAATTATGCAATTTTACGGTGTCCACAACGGTTCGGCATACATGAAACCAATATTTGGCTTAATTTAGATCAAAAAACGCCACTCTCTTTTGCTGGGGTTCATACGGAATTTGAAGATATGCGCTGCTGGGCTGCTTTCCGCTTGTGTAAGGTTCATAAATTCAGCAACAGATGGAGCAGGCATATCTTCTCACACGTAGATCTTACTCAACCACACGCATACACACACACACACACAATTGCAAGCAGTCAATGGCGAGCTTTTGGAAAATACGTTGGAAGTTCTGCCCCGCCCCCACCCGCCAAACTAGAAGGCCTGGTCGACACGCTCTCATTAGCAAAGCGGAGAAGGCCAACGAAGCACGAACTTCACATTCCGACCAGCTGCGTGGGCACTCGTGCACAAGATGGGCGTGAAGACAGCCATCACAAACTGCGTCGTCCGCCCTCAACACATCTTGCAGCTGAATTGCGTGAGGTGGTTCACGAACAGTGGTCGTGGTGGTGGTGGTGACGACTGCGAATTGCGATGGTCCACCGCTCGGTCGACGATAGACAAGGTGACTGACACAACGACAGCGAGAGATACAAGGTTGATTAAGGGACACTTGAGTTGCTAGTCCGTTCGCCCGACTCGTTTTACTATGTTCGCCTGCCTGATGACGTCGGGTGTGCAACAACGCATACTCACAGTTGGGCAAAAGAGTCGCCGCCATGTGACGGCACCGCTTGCAACGGGAGAATGTGAATTCGTGTCAAAGACACGTGGAGCTCCACCTCATCATCATCGTCTTCATTATTACCTTAGAGGCAAGGTCGATTTAAGCCAAAAGCATGGTCACCCATGGGAAGCGTTCGAGTAAGGGGTCTTTCAACTTTGGATTGGATGACTTACCGGAGGAACGCCTCAATGGAGACGTGGTCGAAACCAAATTAAGTGGTCTCATGGGAAGCCTGTGCTCCTATCGCAAGTGGGCGGGAGTGAGCGAGCAACTCAGTGGTTTTTATGGATTCAGCCCAAAACGGTGGGACATAAATGACGAAAGGCAAATGGATGGACTCGCAAAGAGATGATTAGATGCTGTCCTTAGCGATGCAGGGGGTGAATCACTTGTCTGGTATCGGAGCATTAAAGCTAGGAAGGCGACCGATGGATGCAATTTGCAGGTTTTTCAGTGGAACAGTCCTTGATGTCGTGTAATTGTAACGTTTTTTGGATACGTATGGACCGGGTGCAGCCAAGTACTCTGAGGATGGTGAGTGTAGTCCAATGAAAAAACAATTCAGTCCCAGACTGACAAGAAAAACACTGAATCAGGGTCATTTTTACAAGAGCGCTAGGCCAATGAGACCGCCTGGGTTTCCTGTTTGTCAGAGAACATTTGGCATGTCAAACAAACCACCGAATAATATAATCTTTGATCCTAGTAGGGTAACAATCAAAAGGTTTCACTCCGTTGAAGGAATGCGAATAACACTACCAATCTAGCTGACAACAGGCGTTCTATCATTAGGCGATTTCCTTTCCGTTTCGAATGCAAGTAAAATGTAATAGGGTCGCATTCTGTTCCACACGAAGAGGCAACAACGACGTCTGACGGTATAACCGCACGGATTACGATGCAATGGTGCGTCGAAAATCAACCACCCACATAGTAGACAAAACATATGATTCCAGGTTTGGACAGATGGGACACAGGTACAATGCAAGTGTGAGAAGGACCTCGTAGTACCTGTGTATTGAATGGTCCTACACCGAAGGATCTGACGCGGAACTAGTCAAGCTTTGGTTTTGTATCCGCGTTATACTACTGCTGGTGGTTTTGAAAGAAACGTTGTTTGATCATTAAATGGAGAAATTCAAACTACCTCTATGTGTAGCCCCGTGGTCTGACCGTTTCTGGTGATGAAATCGACAGAACAGGTATAGCTATAACCCTGCAAGGCACCAAGCGTATAAGTAAAAAAAATTCTATATTAAGTTTACCCTAAGGGTGAGTGCGATTCATCAAAGTGTTAAGGCGAGAAACAGTAGTGGTTTCTTCCGAGCTAAACTGTTTCACATCGAATTTGGCGTCGGTTGGCGCAACCCGACTGCCCCCAAGCTAGAATCCGAAGGAAGATGTACACGTTCAATTGAACACACTTGTTAATATGGCGAAGAGCCCGTCCCAATGGCGTTTGAGTTGCGAGTTTCTTTGTGTCCATTCCCCCTCCAGCTGCGATCTCATGTGAAACGTATACTAGAGTATTTAACATTTTTTCATTTGTCGCTATTCGAAAATTTTGGAATATAACTTTACAAGATCTCATCTTTTCGTATTGAGTCACATTCGTTGAAATGCGTTTCTCACCCACAGCTGACGTACGTTGACGATGAGACAGTTTCCTTGCAAGTTTTGTCGCCAAAAAGACTAAATAAAATCATCGGGGAACTTCCAGGTTGTAGACAAACCGAGCGACTAAGAATATAGCCGAAATTCCGCAATTATATATCGAGCTAAGAGTATCCTTAATAGAACAAAGCATCGATAGTACGCGCTCACAATCAGCAAGCGCATGCAGGTTAGACTTTGCGAGGACCCTGGCGACTACACAGCATCAGAGCGGCGAAAAACTTCGTCCAGTAACACAATGAAAGTAGCATCGAGATAGCAGACACGTGGGTCACAACGACGACCCACAGTTCCCTAGCACCAACTAAACGCTTGTATAGCCAAGTGAGCAGGTGATATTTCCCCACTGATAAGTAAGCCCAGTAATCGTGGAATTGTTGAGGTGCGTTTAAGAGCCCATGGATGACCACAAACGGTCTGAAGGTGTATTAGAGCTGCTGGTATTTATGGTTCGCAGCCATATGCGCTCAAATGATTGTTTTTCTAGGATTCAAAGCTTAGGCGTGACCAAGGTGGAGATACAACGAGATCCCACTCCGAAGTTCAACAGAAACCCAAACAAATAGCTCCAACTCCGTCTCTTGACTCATTCCGATTCAAAGTGCGAAACATGTAGGGGCCAGTGCACCAAATGAAGTTGAATACATGTGAAGTATAATAGCTGGAATGAAAAATAAAGGCGGTAGGCAAACGGACAAATAAGTGGATCAATTTGAATAGAAGTCCTCGAAATTTGACCGTTTGGCGACCCACAACATCCAGATGGGCATTACATGACTGTGTTGTCCCCTCCCAACGCGAGAAAAATAAACAAATGATGAATCAGTGTCTCGGTCCTCGCTCCAAGTTCAAAGTTCGCTCCCAGCGAGGTCCGTAAAGATATGACAATGTACAAGTGTTTTTGTGGATGTCAGTGCTAATCTAATTAAATGATAAACTGCGTAAATTTTTAAACGTTTACATTCTAAATCGGCATGCCAGCTGAACTCCGCGAGTTTTTTGATCTCAGTAGATATAGGTATGACACCTTGCATAGTGCGCATTCGAAGACTTAGGTTAATACACGTTGGTTTTAAATCAAGAGGCAATCTCCCTGCCGTCAACACAGTTCCGGTCTCTAAGTGCAACCTTTTGGACAGGAACATTAAAGTGTCCGACGTAGTTATGATGGCAACAAACCGATAGCCATCCTCTCTTTCTCACCTCGAATGTCTCCATTAAGTCTTGCACACCACTGTTTGAAAGCGAAACGGTGATAAGCTAGAAAAATGGATGTTCATTGCGTCTACGCCGGATGCCTCGTACACTGTTGACGAAAGATTAATCTTCACCAACAATCGCAATATAGATCGCAGATGATCAGTTTCATGTGTCGAGACAAGGAAACGCTTGTGATCGCATTTTCAAACGTACGCTCTCATAAAAAGAGAATGCCAGGTGACTGTGAACTTGTGATGCATTGTAGACAAGAGTCGGTTCGAACACCTTGGAAGAGGCAGTGATATGTGTCCGGGTTTAGGACAATTTCCCTCAGATAAAAGCGCAAAAAAAGCATAAGGATTGCTCACCGAACCTAAACGTGACAGATCCGGAATTCGCTCACTATGCTCTAATATTCGATTACAAACATTAGAAACTGATGTTGAGGAACACTACAGGTGAGACCGTCGATTTAATGACCTGGAGGAACCTACCTCAGTTTGGGGCTGTGAGCTGGTAAAATTGGAGAAAAGATGATAAGTATCAATTTTACTAGAGATGCTGACAATATGAATATTTTCTGGTTGTGTGAGAGATCGCTCATGCACTGCGACAAAGTTCATTGTTTACGGTTCCGATCATGTTCATGCGTGAGCAGATGAGGGTTCGATCAGGTCTGTTACCAAGATATCATATGCCACACGGTTTGGATTGCCGCCATTTTCTTGTGTAGCAGCTACTTACTTTTCTCACTGGATACAGCTTTTTAGGTCTATCTCAGAAGAATTCGTCGGACGAGTTTGCCCATGAACAAAAGGTAATAATCGGGTTAGAGGCAAGGAAACTTGAATATGGGTTGTTCTGACGTTCACACAGGACCTAAATGTGGCTGGTAAGATATTTCACAGGACAACATGATTGATGAGGTGAAGGTCTCTGGGTTATTTTAATACGTGTATATCAGAATAGGTCAACTGATAAAGAAAGAAAGACATTAGCAGCACGTCGGTGCACTGTACCGACGCCTCGTTGCCACGAATCCACCACCGATCTCGCGGAGGCTAAGGATACCGGAAGGGTTGCGCGGTTTCATACGGAAACTCGAACCTGTAAGTGTGTGGCCCTTCAGACCATCGACCAACCATCTGATGTCTGGGATCGTAAAATAGCGTCAAACTATGCTTCGGTTATTGCAACCAAAGGGATCCAAGGTAAGCGGTGGTTCAGTCACGATGTAAGTTCGAATCTATAAGGCTCAAATTAGCGACGACTTGTTGGCCACGGGAAATCGATAATTTCCACTGCGTGCTCCTTAACACACCTTAGTTTAAACGAATGACCAGTTTCCGGAACCAATAAACCAAGCTGTGGTATAACCTCCCGAACTTCCCTAACTCACGATATTTTAAGCGGTTCCCTACGCTGTTAGTTGGTCTGGTTAGAAAAATATGTCACATTAGCCAGACAAACAGCAAAAAGATCTGGTCGGACACAAGGGATAAGACGTAATTTACAGGGAAATGCTAGCGATTTCAAACAAATAACCAGACACATTCTGAGCGTGTACTCATGTCTAACCAGTTTTGAATCCCAGTTAATCCCTTCTGCAGGTCCCAACAACCATGGACGCGTTCATGTGCTATGGGGCAGTTGTACCAAATGGGTATGGGGCGGCATACAATCCCCATCCGGACAACGTGGTGGTGGTTATTTCATGTTGGCGTACGAACCCGGAGAACAGTGCGGTCAAGTTCGCCAACATGCTCACTGCAGCATTCACCGAGATGCGTGATTTAGTCAAGTCGAATGTGGATCTTGCCAAAGCACCATCGAAAGAACCGGTAGAATGGAGTATCGCCAAGTCGCTCGGTGCTGACATGTCTGGCTGCGTGTGAGGTCGACGCGGGACGGCAAATCAACTGGATGGTCGCAAGGATCCAAATTATTTTCCCAACATTTATACACCTTTAGATTTGTATTCACTATACCTAAAGCCACAGTAAACTAGTGGTGAATTTTTCCATAGAAGAGTCATATCAGTTGGATTTTCATGTGCAAATCATTGAGGAAAGACACTTCTCTGCTATTCAAAATGTTCCACATGTCAAATAGTGAAAGTTAGACGAGTAATGTACACCGTACCGGAAGAAGTGGCTTATAGTTGTGCAATTTTTTACGCGCCCATGTATTCTTTACCCAATCGACAAATATCTTCGCTGAGACCAAAGGGATAAATAAGTTCCCAATGGCCATTCGACGTGACACCAATCCCTCAAACTTTTCAGGTTGTGATTTGTACAGAATAAAATCGGAAAGCGCCGATGTACAAGAGACCACAGCGCTAATATTTTCAACACTTTAACTACCTTATGACATTGTAACACCTTGATGCAATTTTTGTTTTGATATCATCTTTTACCATATGCTTAACCTAGATTATTGGCACCGATTGTCACGGCCAGATAATTGTTATTATGCCCAGGTAGCATACTTCATATTCTGAGATTATACACATACATATTTGATTCACATGTATCGTGCACGAATTTACTGTTGGCACAGTACCAGTTATTAATACGCTTACGTCAGCTTCTCAATAAATTTGCAATCGAGACCCATACTTGTTGGAATTTTTACGAGAACATCGATTAGAAATCCCCAGCACGCATCAGATAGTCAGTCATAGCGTCTAGTTGTGTCGCGGTAACACAAGAGAGAAAATTCCATTGTGAACGATTAATCACTGATTTACTTTTAGGTGTTTTTGCTCCGTTCTTCACCAGTGGTTTACGATTTGAAACAAAAAATTAGACAGTCCGTGGGAAATGCACCATCCGTTCTCATTTCCATGCAACTACGGAGACAGTTGGGAAAATTTTGGTGAAGCGTCAGATTCTATATGGATGGTTTATAGTGTGCTCGACGAAAATCGATTCAAACTTAGCGAATTATCGTGTGGTCAGACAACATGCCGACCACTCGATATCGATTCACCTTCAAGCCCTTCAGTGAATAACTTGTTGGACAACAATGCCTCTGATCCGTTGGAGGTCTGTTTGGATCGCACAACTTACTCAGTAACAGTTTTGAGGATGCAATGGTTACCCTCATCGAAGCCATAACAAACTGGCTTTAAAGTACTGAAACACGGCGTTGTGCCGTGATATTTTAAGGAAAGCATAGATTCCAATGAATAGGAAACACAGTGGGAAAAAGTAACAGGGGTTTCACTTTATGCTAGAAAACACATTGTACTCTGTCATTTGAATGGTTAACTAGAAACATCAATCACAGGCATCTAGAGCTAATAGGTGGGCAATAAAAGCAAAAAGCGTCTTCTGCCAAGTGGATGTCTCCAGTGCTCGGTCGCGGTATGGCGCGCGATCTGCAACTTACAGATGGCCAATAAAAAACGAAAAGGCATGAATCGCTTAACAGACAGCTCTAGCGATTGATCGCGGTTTGGCGCTTGCCGAATAACAAACCGTTTAGTCAAGTTCGTAGTGGCGAATGGTATGGGGGGTCTACTTGTCACAAAAGCCGCAATGGTTAATCACATGGATTTTGTGTGAGCATGCGCCACGCGAGAAATAAGAACATTAACAGCAACAAGGGCTCAGTCCTTGTGTGTCTCTGAATGAGGAGCACGATCTAAGCATGAAATAGGACGATTTGACTAAAAGATGAAAGGAGGCTTGCAGATTGTATACGCGATTTCCTCCAAGGAGACGCAGGGAGATAACGAAGCAGATCATAGGGATTCGATGAAGTTGAAGATGTAACGCGTGCGCAAGCCAGAGAGTTCCGTAAAACTGACGACCACTATGTAAACAAAACCCAGTAAAATTTGTGTAAAAAAGGAATCTTTGTGAGGCAACAGCCGGTCAACCATAGCGAGAACCATGGGTTGGTAGCAAGCTCAATAGGTGTAGACAATCAAAGCAGGATGAAGGTGTTTATGGCAGATTTCACCTCAAACCAAGAGAGAAAAGAGTATTTGATCCGCATCCGTCATTGAGATAATTAGAGGGAGAAGGACCGACTACAGCTGCGGCAAAACAGCGTTATACGAAAGACTGGATGAATATGTAGAAAAACGGCTGTTTACTTGATGGATAGCGCCATCGCAGACCGGAGAAGACCATATGGTGGCCATTAACGGTGGATGTAGAGATTAGCGTAAGGGAATAAGAAGTTTAGGTTTTAGAAAGTGGACGAATTCAGGATGTGCAAAACCGTGAAGTAATAATACAAGATATACGAAACAGGAAATGTCAACGGCAGGTTGGTATGAACGCCGGTCCAGTAAGGTCGTATATCCGCCGAAGGTACGAAAACGGAAGTCATTAGGAAGTGAGTGTGGCAGACCAAGTGATAAGAATTACAAAGCGTCATCAGATCAAAAAAGCGGAGCTTGAGCGACTAAACTTTGCACACAGTAGTCAGTTAGAAAAATTAATCGTTGTATTGCGTCGCCTGCGGCAATGCTGCCTACGATCTGCTCTGCCTGGTGTCCAATCTGCCGTAAAGTCAAAAGCCAGAACTCGGTAGATGAGATGTATTCTGTGAAAGGGAACGGTACTAGTTATAGGTCAACCAAATTTTCAAGTATTGGAAAGTTGAACATCCCGTCATTGTCCTCAACCGATGTGAACACATTTTGGTTTGCCTCGGTTATCATATTTGGCCGTTTGTGGCTGCCGGAGTAGGGTCCCTGTTCATTCGGTCGAGGCTTACCGGAGTCCGCCAGCCACTCAAAACGCACTGGCGTTCGATATTTGATTGGCTGCTTGCATGTCAGAGTAAACCCTACTTCACACTATCCATGCTCACACGACCGAGACCTATCCCATTTCGCTAATCACCCATATCGCACCTACATTCCGCCGTTGATCATCTGATCGCATGTTTGGCGTAACACCCGTCCCAACTGTTTGCACATCGTAGTGCAGTAACGCCGTGCAGAAGTAATCGCTCCGCTTAGCCACATGATAGTAATGAACACATGTTGTGCCACCCGTCCCAGGTGATTAAAGATGAAGTCGTCAAACATGCAGGCAAACTGCAGTGGCTGCGATCCATCACACCGATCAGTCAAGTCGCGCTTAACTAAAACCGTGAAGCATCATTTGATAAGTTACCTTTGCCCAGCAGAGCCTTAGTTCCGCTAAAATGGGACGCCATTCTAAGAAGACTGAGTGGTTGTTAGAGCGCCAACATATAGACACATCCAATACGTGCTGCACTGGCTGAGACATCATGAAACACACCCAAAGTTGAGGTAACCTAACCTGTCCATCGGCACTCAGAGCGCACCTCTACACCATTTGTCATCAAGTTTAAGTACACTAGTCGTATCTGGGTCGACAAGTGGACAGCGAAGGCAAAGAAGACGGCTGTTGATAAGTTTGAAAAGTGACCACTGTTCCACATTCGCATCCTAGGGCTAGCAGTCATGCCTACGAGATTCGAGCACTGAACTTGTGATCGAAGAGGCGACAACAGTTCACACTTGCTGGGACTCCAAAAACCACAAAGAATGCCAAGAATAGGGGTGGTGACGTGCGCATCTCAATTAGGAACGCTAAAAGCTCTCACTTACATATAGTCAAAATATCCACAATAACAGCCGCCAAATGCCATGTCGCAAATAGCTGCTATTATATATATATATATATATATATATATATATATATATATATATCCCATGCTGAGGCTGATGTTGCATTCTTGATGCTTCTTCACCGCAGTTGGGCAAAACCAACTTAAAGTTAAACTAGGTCTTTCTAAGCTGGATACATTTCATTGCACTTTATTTGGTTTGTTCTGCCTATCTGAATAATCTTCCATTAACTGGCCACGTTGCTTATGCTAATTACGCTTATCTTCGGTAACTCTGTTGCGTGTGTAGCATTTTTAAGTAACTTGTGGACATTTTTTCCTTATCGCGGGTTCGTTGCTAAGCAACCTACTTCATATGCTAATTTAGCACTATATATATATATATATATATATATATATATATATCCCAATACCGCTGGTTTATTCTCACCCCAGGAGTCACACTGCCTTCACACCAGACTTGTCCAGGGATACATTACCCCGCTGGATAGTACCCTATGTAACAAACGCATGTATCCCGCTATTGGCTGTACAGTGAACCAATTAGATAGAGCCATGTTAGCCAAAAAAAGTGCCGTGGGACTCCCCTCGGGCACTCTGGGATTTGTGATACTGTTGCGCAGTCGCAAGTACTGTGACTATCACTTGCTGTGTGATTTTTTTACTGTGTAACCAGTCGGTTGCAGCACTACGAATAGACAAAGAGCCATCAAAAACCATGGAAATTAAAGGAAGGTACAGCTGTCATTAGAAGAAAACCGTACACAACACAAAGAAATCCATGGTTTGGTCAGCGGGCGAGATACTACCCGATTACGTAAGCCGAAGTAGAGTGCTGACATAGGGGACACCACCCCGAACCTTTGGTTAAATAGTCTACCCGCAAGGAAGCGGGGCGCATTCAGGGAATCGCGCCGATTGGGAGGCGGTGACTGATTGCTCAGTTCATACGCCTTTCGTTTGTTCGGTTGACAAACAGGGGCTCAAACTTCCCCACAACTCCAGCTTCGCGTTGTTGGATATAATGCTCCACCGGAGTGAAGCAAGTGGCAGTGACTTTATTTACTGGCGAGTCACATCCACCACGTCCCAGTGTTGTTAGAGAGACATATGTGGCTTGTTATAGGGAGAACGCTAGCCAGGCGAAAACCCATCACGCCTTGGAACACTGCCGCTGAACTATTTGTTGGAACGGGATAAACCCGGACCACTTAGCTGGCACCACGAAGAGGTTTTTCGGCAAACCAGCCGGTTGTCAGCACTGGGCGGGTACTGTTGAAGTGCCTCCTTACTGAATATCCATGTTCCTTTTTATAGTTATTTTCGAAGATTCTTACATAAAACAAAATGGCTAGTCCCAAATCAGCAAAGCCAAAGGCATTAACACTTGAAGAAAGAATATCAGTGATTCGACAAAGTCAAGAAGGAAAAGGTTGGCGAAAACTGGCGGAAATTTTCGGGGTAGGAAAGACACAACTCCTTCTAATTTCAAAGAGAAAAGTCGTGTTTGTATGGATTTGAGAACAAAGCACCAAGACAGAGAAGAAAGAATAGTAGGAAAACGAGTACGGAAGAAATAAACGCACTTTGCTGGAAAGGATGCCAGTCAGCATCGGCGAGAAAAATCACATTATCTTGACCCATGATTCAAGAATGAATATTGCACTTTACAAAAGAATTGCAAAACCCAGACTTTAAAACGTCAAACGGTTGGCTGCAAGCTTTCATCAGTAGACACAAGCTTGTGTTTGGTAAACAGTCGGGCGAAAGCGGTGACTCGAATATGTGTGTTGTATCCGACTGGAAAGCAAAACCACCCGAAGTACGTTTTGGTTACACAGCTCAAGACATTTTTAATGTAGATAAAACTGGTTTGTTATTCAGAGTGACGTCGGATAAAACATTATCCGTCGAAGGAGAGAGATGCGCAAGTAGGAAAAGAAGCAAGGAACGTATCACAGTTATGCTGTACACTAACATGTTGGGAGAGCGAGAA